AAATTAGGTCCTTTACACCAAAGGAAAAGTAGACATATATATGTCTTATATATATATATGTGTCATATATATGTATATATATGTGTGTGTGTGTCATATATATATATGACACATATATGTCTTATAAATATAATAAAGTATACATATAACATAAATATAGTATAAATAGTATAACATAAATATATAGTTATAAATTCTATTGATTGATTGATTGATATTTTGAGAGAGAGAGAGAGCACAACCAGGGGAGAAGCACAGAAAGAGAGATAATCTCAGCCAGGCTCTGCATTCTCAGCACAGAGCCTAATACAGGCTTGATCTCACAAATGGTGAGATCATGATGTGAGCCAAAATCAAGAGTTGGACTTTTAACCAACTGAACCATCAGGCACCCCTATAATTATATAGTTTTAAATTAAATTAAGCACACAGATATAGGTTGCCATTTTTACCTGAAAAAGACTTAAAATGAATAAGCTACGTATGTATGGATTATAACTTTTACTTCACATCCATTCTTGTACATATGATGAACAGAAGAAATTATTACTTAGATTCATCTGATTTTCTTATTTATGAATTGATTGTTTCATTTAGTTATCCATTTATTCAGTATAAAACTTTTATCCATCCATTATGTGCTAAAACAGAGGACAGAATGATGACCTGGGCCTTGTCCTATAGGACTTTCATTTTAGAGTGAGACAGAATGCAAGGATTTAGCCCTGCTCTTTATGCAGTTATGTGGGAAAAGTTACCTAATCCAGCCTGTAGAAGAGAACACTTCTTAGAAGAGACAATTGATAAGTGTGATGCATATAAGCAAAATTTAGTCTTGCAGACAGAAAAGCAAAGGCAGTACAAAGAAATTATAAGAACTTATTCCATTGAGGGGAGAAATAAGCAGGAATCTGCTAAAATCTCCAAGCCTCTGGTTTTATTAAGAACTGACCCCACATTAGTCAGTTGCAGTGACAGGGTTTTTAGACAGGGCCATAGTTAGATATCCATTAAACAGTGCTCTTGGTAGCACTTTCTCAGGTGGATTTGTCAAAATTGGAGGCAAGGAGAGTAGTTAAAGACAGGGTGGCCTCTTAACGAGGAGGCCTGGGGCCCCTAAAGGGCTTATGGATGGAATTTAGGAGGTCCATGAACGTGAATGAGGAATTGTTACATTATTATTCACATTAATCTCTTATTAAATATATGACTTTCAACAATTATGAATATAAGGTCCTGATAATATGGGCAGTGCCAACCACACTGTGACCAATAGAAACTAAAGATGCATTCATACTCTATTCTGGTACTTAGCAGTATCATAAAAGCTCCCTCTCTTTCTTTCTTTCTTTCTTTCTTTCTTTCTTTCTTTCTTTCTTCTTGCTTGCTTTTTCTTTCTTTACCTTTTTCTCTATTTTAATTATAGTAAAAACAGACAACATAACATCTACTCTCATAACCATTTTTAAGTGTGCAACTCAGTAGTGTTAATTATATTTACATCGTTGTGCAATCTACAAAACTTTTTCATCTTACAAAACTGAAACTCTATACTCATTAAACAGAAATTCCCCATTTCCCAATTCTCCCAGCTCCTGGTAACCACCATTCTTCTTTCAGTTTGTATGAATTTGACTACTTTAGATACCTCATATAAGTGGACATACAGTCTTTTTGTGACTGGCTTATTTTGCATAGCAAAATGTCATCAAGGTTCACCCATGTTGTAACATGTCATAATTTTCTTACTTTTTTAAGGCTGAATATGTTCCAACGTGTGTGTGTGTATACACACACACACACACACGCCAGATTTTGTTCATACATTCTTTCATTAGTGAACATTGGGGTGCTACTATAAATATGCATGTGCAAATATTGCTCTGAGACTGTTTTCAATTCTTTAAATATATACCAAGAAGTAGAGTTGCTGGATAATATAGTAGTTCTATTTTTAATTTTTGAGGAACTACCATACTATTTTCCATTGCTATTTTACAACTTTAAAATCCCACCAACAGTGTACAGAGGTTTCAGATTCTTCAAACATCTTCACCAAGACTTGTCATTTTCTACTATTTTGATGATAGTCCTTCTAATGGGTATAATGTGATATCTCATGGTTATGACTTAGATTTTAAATCAATGTCATATTGAACATCTTTTCATATTGTTGTTGGCCATTTGTATATCATCTTTGGAGAAATGCTATTTCAACTGCATGCCCATTTCTGAACCAGGTTGTTTTTGTTATTGAGTTGTAAAAGTTCTTTATATATTCTGGATATTAACCCCTTACCAAATATATAACTTGTAAATTTTTCTCCCATTCTGTAAGTTGCCTTTGACTTTGTTGATTGCATCCTTTGATGCGCAGAAGTTTTTAAGTTTTATGTAGCCCCGTTTTTTTTCTATTTTGCTTTTGTTGGCTTTGCTTTTGGTGGCAGCTGTAAGAATCATTGCCAAATTCAGTGCCATGAAGCTTTTCCTCTATGTTTTCTTCTAGGATTTTTATGGTTTATGGTCTTATGTTTAGGTCTTTAATTCATTTTGAGTTAATTTCTTATATATAGTGTCAGGTAAAAGTCTTACCTCAATATTGTACATGGGAATATCCAATTTTTCCAACACCACTTGTTAAAGTGACTGTCCTTTTTAAAGTAATATTTAGGCCTATCTCTGCTTCACAACTACATTGCCTGTTAATCCTGCTGTTAGAATTTTTTTTATTTAATGTACTAATGAAGAAGCATATTACCATATCACATATTTATTTTTAAGTATGTTGATAAATGTGTTTCAGTATAATTCATTTCCCTTGTATGTAATCTTTTAAAATGTATTTTATAAACATATTGGTTTTATGCATTTATGATATATAATGTTTATTCTTTGCCTATTTATTAGTTTAAACATATTGTAAGAAGGGAGCTATTGATTTCACCAGACTACACAGGGTTTGTAGCCTCAAAACTTATTAAGAATTAAGATTGTTTCAGTAACTCAGACAATGGATGAAGTCTGAACTGGAGCAATGGCAATAAGAAATATGTAAAATCAAGAAATAGACAAATTCAGTATGATTTAATGATTAAATCAATGCCATGACCGATGAGCAGGCGAAGTCCATGATGACCACCAGATTTTTAACTTGGGTGGTATGTAGTTCTGGGAGTCATCAGTGCAGAAGTTTGCATTTAAAACCATGAGAGTATCTGTCATCACCCATAGGGAGAAGGTAAAGGAAAAAATAGGCTACGTTGAAACCAATATTCAAAGATTAGCCAAATCTAATTATCAGCTATGGTGTCATGCAATATATTTAATGTATCAACAAATAAAACTAGTATGTAAAGAATAAAACTTCAACAAGCATTTGGTGGTTAATTGTAAAGGACCATTTGTTATGACTCTACTCTGCATTTGTAATTTTTGCACCTGCAATTATTTGCATGCAAGACAAATGCAGCTACAGTTGCCTAATTACAGGCACAACCATCCAAAATTGCCCACAAACAATAGCACAAAGATATGCCATCTGTGAAAGTGCAGGAACCCCCCAGACCTTTCCTGTTCTGCATCCTGTAAGGCTTCCCTTTGGCTTCTGTCTTGCCTGGGTTTCATTCTTTCCTGATCTCATACATGCAATTATAGGCTGGTCACTCTAATAAGCGAAGAGTCAGTAGGCCTTTCCTCTTCCCCAACCATTATGCTTCTCGCCCCCCTCCAAATATACAAAATGTACCATAGTATGTGCAGACTGAAAACAGAAGCCATTTCTAAAGCACATTATTTGTCTTGTTAGTATGAATAGATTCAATTTTTTATTCACACGTAATTGTACAAGGTAGGCAACTTGAACACTATAAAGATGAAATCTCATATAAATTTCTGCTCAAAAGTGACAAGAAAATTATTTTACTCTACTTTAAAAAAAGTTTTAGCCATTATTAAAAACACAGCTGTCAGTTTGGATCAAATATATTCCTATTTCCCCATTATATTATTAGGACAATCATGAAATTTAATAATTGTCCCTCAGAGCTTGATTTTCTGCAAAAGTGTCATAACACAATCAGTACTATGGCAAATAATTATTGAACAGTGTGAAGATAGTTATGATTTCAGGCGGGAAATATAAAATAATAGATGAGAAATATAAAACCCAGGTTAATACTTGATAAAGATTCTGTTCTCATACAAATGTCAGTAGTAATAAATGTGGGGACCACACAGCCTGCTTTATGAAAATGAAACAGATTCTAGACAGAATAATTTTCTGAGATTTTAATGATATATTTCAAATATTACTTGCTTGTCATTTAATCATATTAAACACTCTGAATCTGATAAATCCTCTGTGATAGAAACAATACACTTTGCGAATGGGAAATTGGATAGTTTATTAGGCTAATGACTAAAACCAGAATGTAACATATATCTCTTCTATGAAATCTGTATTTCTCCACTCTATTTAAGGTGCTTGGAATTGTTATACAGTATTACTATGAAGGTTTCAAGGGCAAATGGAGGCTTCGGAATTCTAAAATGTTCATCAATGTTTTGTTGTTGTTGTTGTTGTTTTAATTTAACATATTATAGTGAATAGGAAGTAATATTTTTCTTCTACCACATTTTCTCTGTGGTACATGACTCACACAGAGAGTTGAAGCCAGAGTTTGACGCCAGCCTTACGTTTATGGGCAATGGGGCATGTTTAAACATTTGGACATTAGAATACTTAGACATTACAAATATGGTAAAGTATTTCGATCTAGCAAAATAAGTCATGTTAAGAGAAGAATTTATAAAAGGGAAGTTATCACTCTGAAAAGAGAGTTAACTAGAAGCAAAAGATTGTTCTGTTATATATAACTGAACATTTCAATGTATGCAATCGAAATTCAAAATATTATTAATGACATGATAAACATTAGCTGTTTGTTTTTACAAGAAGTAGAAGAATATTTTGAGACATTAACAAGGATAATGTTACTCACATCCTGAGCTACCGTTTGTTGACACGAGAGTCAAGTTGGAAGGCCACGGATTCCGAACAATATCTTGCCAATGAATTGTGTCTGTGTAACAAAGAAATTTGTTCTGGTCTACATAGACTCCACCATTAAGGATTTCTGTATTAAAACAAACAAACATATTTCTAGTCAAACTTTTTGTTGATGAAAAGATAGTCAATAAAAGTTATTTATTCTTAAATGATTTTCAATGTTAAATTAGAATTATTTTGTTAATAGCCAAGATATTTTTTTAAAGATCATTACTGGGTCACATAAATTGATTGCAGAAATTGGAAAAAAAATTGGAAAATACAGAGAAAAACAACCATCCATAACACAAATACTCAGAGAAACACTTCATAGTTTGGTATAGATACTCTCATTCTCTTTCCTTTTTTTAATCCTCTGAACTTGGAATAACATTGCATGCAATATTTCAAAACGTACTAGTTTTGTCTAATATTAAGTGATGAGTATTTAATGTTAATTAAATATTATTCTACATTATTTCTAATGAGAATACAATATGCCAGAGCATAAAGTAAATAATATTTATTTAACTAATCCTCTTTTTTTGGCTATTTAACTCATCTGTCTCTCTTAAGAAAAAATTCTTTCAGTCAATGTGACATTGACGAGTCAGTAGGTGAGTGATTAAAACAAAATGAAAGCTAAAATTAATTTCTCAATCAGAAAAATGTTCTTTGATCCTCTCAAATGGAATCAATAGAATTGCCAATTATTCTTTAAGAAGAACACAAAGCAAGACATAATGAAAACCCCATGGTTCACTGGAACAATGACAGGATCATGGGATAAAATTCATTAAAGCCAATTTTTACTTGATTCTCTATTTATCACTGGCTTTGATCAGCTAACTTGTTTCCCCTGAACGATGGCTGACCGTATATGTAAATTCTCTTTCACATTGCTTTAAGTTATCCAGAAAAAAAAAAAAAAAAAAAAAAAAGGAAAAAGAAGTAGATATTCCCTCTACAAACACTAATCTTTTTTTTTTTTTTTTTTTGAAATACCATTCTTTTGGGGCGCCTGGGTGGCGCAGTCGGTTAAGCGTCCGACTTCAGCCAGGTCACGATCTCACGGTTCGTGAGTTCGAGCCCCGCGTCAGGCTCTGGGCTGATGGCTTGGAGCCTGGAGCCTGTTTCCGATTCTGTGTCTCCCTCTCTCTCTGCCCCTCCCCCGTTCATGCTCTGTCTCTCTCTGTCCCAAAAATAAATAAAACGTTGAAACGTTGAAATACCATTCTTTTACTTGAAGAAATTGTTGGTTAGAAATACACATAACATCTTCCTACCCAATATTTACCACATCTGTCTCTCTTATCTCTTAAGAGAAATTATATTTGAGTCCATTAAACATTGCTACAAGTAACAAAAAACAGTTAACAATAGTTTATGTAGATAGGGAATGATTTTCTCACATAATAAGAAACCTATAGGAGGTAGTAGTGTCCAGAGTACCTACATCTGCTTTGGGTCCTGTTTTTATTCATCCCAAGCCCAAAAGGTTGCTGTATCTAAAAATGTCTGGGGACACCTGGGTGGCTCAGTCAGTTAAGCTTCTGACTTGGACTCAGGTCATGATCTCATAGCTCCTTAGCCCAAGGCTCATGTCGGGCTGTCTGTTGTCAATGCAGAGCCTGCTTCAGATCCTCTGTCCCCAGTCTCTCTGCCCCTCCACCCCCGTTCACTCTCTTTCTCTCTCAAAAATAAATATTAAAGAAAAGGTGTCTATCTGAATTCAAGGTAAGATGAAAACAGAAGAGCAAGCAAGAGACATTCTTTTGACGAGATGCTCTCTCCAAGGATTATGTCTGCTTTTTATTGGTCAGAACAATATCCCCTGACCATTCCCACTGCAAGAGGTTGAGTGGACATATTGCTGCTTGAACAAAACTTCAAGAAGCAGTATTAGTGAGGAAGGAGAGGGACATAAATATTGAGAAGGCAATCACTCTATTTTCCATAATGGCCTTGAAAAAAAAAATCTTTCTTGTGCAGTATCCCAAGCAAAAATTGTAAGAGTCACGTTAAGCCAAAGAGGGTGATAAAAGAATGAAAGGAACACGTGACACCATAAGAGGGGTATTTGTAGAAGTGAGATGGGTGAGCACATCTCAATGCCTTATTGCATTGCATGTATAAAATGCACCAAATTAATTTTGACATTGCCAGGCTTTCCACATTTAAAATCTCCTATTCTCATGATCAATCCTTTCACTGACTATTGGTTCCATTTTCTCAGCTGAGGAAAAAAAAGGAAACAAAAAGAAATTAGGTCATCTCTCCACTTCTAAAGCCCAGTTCATTATTTTTCATGACCTAACCATACAATCCTCATCAAAGTAGAAGGGAGATGTAAGACGTACAGAAGATTGTGAAATGAATTTCTATATTAATGTTTGGCATTAAGTTTCTATCTATAAAATGTGACGATCTCATACTAATAGCTTTCTCATGAGACATTAGGTGATGCTCTTCTGCTCTAGGAATAATTCTTCATTAGGTGACAAAGAAAGATTTTGACTGCTATCCAGGAAATGAAGGTTATTTTTCAGTTTACATTTGGAAAAGTTCTACTTGAAAAAGAAATGTGAGGAGAAAAGATAATAGCTCAAATATTGTAGAAAGAGTATATTTTTCAGGATTCACATTATAATTCAAACAGTTCATACTGAAGGAACACAATATCCATCTGTAACTTCCTATCTAAAAATATTCAAATAGAATCAGATTATATTATACTGAATAATAATCTCATCAAATCCCCTTCTTCAACAATATTAATCTGCTACCAATGTTGACATTTGTTTCTCAGAAATATTCTGCTCAAGAGCTTGGTTTTTACTTGGAAAAGTATTTAGAAAGGAAGCAATAATAATTCAAGTTTAATCTTTAATTAATCTTTAATAATAATTCAAGTTGAAATCTCAAACTACGACTACAATCATGATCAACTTGGATAACACCTGAATTCAAAACCAACCATCTGGTAACAATTCTGGTCAGGAAGATTTATAAATTTCTAGTATTTAATGATGTATTTATAAGGCACAAATAGTCTGTTTGTGTATGTGTGTATTTTTCCTGAAAATAGTATTTTCCTTCATGCTTGGCTTAGATTGTATTCTGTTGGCGAGTGTCAAAACACCACAATCAGAAAAATGTATATTTTACTGACATTTATAGCATAGTTTTAATGTATACTTTATCTTATATTTTCTTTTGATCAATTCAGTTACCTAAATATAGGATAGGAAATAATGTTAATATTGTACTTATTCATTGGTATAGTTTACATTGATTTTATAATGTATACAATTTTTTAAACATTAATGTAATATGTTTTGTGGTGAAATATTAAATTGGATTTATTTCTGAACTAAGAAAGATGTTAGGGGAATATACTGACCTGTAAGAAAGTTGTTAAGGACACAGATTATTTACTAGAAAAAAGGGATCCCTAATGTTTTTGCCTTGGTTGACTATGAGCTGCATTTTTAGATTAGAAAGCGGGACAAGAATTAGAAAAACAAAAGCTTGGTAAGACATTTATCCAGGAAGATACCAGAAGAATGTCTGATTATACTTTAGATTTCTTTGCCGACATACAAGAACAGCAGAGTTGTAGACAAGTTCCATGAAAGGCTTATTGGACGGTACCATCTGTGTTACACCAAGAACTTCCCTTCCGTTAGAAGGGAATAAAGTAAGGGGTGCCTGGGTTGCTCAGCCAGCTAAGTGTCTGACTTCAGCTCAGGTCATGATCTCACTGGTTAGTGAGTTCAAGCCCCATGTCGGACTCTGTGCTGACAGCTTGGAACCTGTGAGCTTTTGAGTCTGGACCTGCTTCAGAGAGACTCTGTATCTCCCTCTCTCTCTGCACCTCCCCCACTCACACTCTCTCTCTCTCTCTCTCTCTCTCTCTCTCTAATAAATAAATAAATAAATAAATAAATAAATAAACATTTAAAAAATAATGCAACAAAGTGATTATTAAAATTTTAAACCATGACAAAAAAGAGGAATTCTAAGTAAGATAGAAAATGTTGTGCAAATGTATGATTTTCAAATAAAGATGCACAAAGCCTAGAAAAGTGAAAAGACATAAATAATGTTGAATAAATAAATGAGCTCAAGGTAAATCCCATTCCATTGTATTTGACTTCCATGGTAGGAAATATAGCACAGAAAATTCAGAAAAACACAAATAGATTCTTGGTCATTGCAATAATTGATAGAAAAAAAACTGGTATATATTTTTTTAAATCATAGATCATAGCCAGCAAGTTTACAAAACAGAACTGTGTCTTTTTAATAAATGCCACAATTGAATATCATAACATATGAAATTGATATTCTATGAAAAAGTATCATTTGATTATTTAAAAATTCATGTAAACACTTAAAAAGTTTTGTGTCTCAAACATTTCCTACTAGATTAATGCATGCAAGTCAAGTAAAAAAAAATTGAATCCTTTTGCAAATAGAATACGTAAATTGTAATCCACATTACTCTCCAATATGTTGAATTTAATATATATAGTACATAATTTATATTTGAAATATTAGACTAAACTCCATGAAGGCAAGGGATATTTTTCAGTGCTGTATCTATATATATCAAACCTGAAGCAATAGCTAATCAACAAATATTTGTTAAATTGAACTTAAAAAAGAATAGTTACGTGGAATTTGCTACCAACATTGATCAATTAACTTCTGTTGTAGCTCTTAATTTTAAATTATATTCTGATCAGATCAAAGTAAAAATGGAAGTTATTTTTTTTTTCCCCATAAACACTACAGGTTATCTGAACTGGTTCTACATTTTCAGAGGTCATTTCTGTTAGGGTCTAAACTGTATCCCCAGTGTCGAGCAAAAAGCAGACACATGATAAATATTTGCTTCATGAATTAAGATATAATATCTTGATTATAGGAAACCATATATGAGTAGGCCAATAAATATATAGTATCTTGAATATAGGGAAAATTAAAAATATAAATGTGAAGGTAGAGTTTTTGTAGGTTAAAAGATAAATAGCTTTTATTATATAAAATGCTTATAATTGATAATGTAAAAAATTATGCAAG